GGAAACTAATTACATCAAAAAGCACCAAAAATCAAACCAAATTACAAATGATTTTTTTCGATTTCAGTTTCTATAAACTTGAAAAACTAAATCGAAACTAGTAAATTGGGATGTTCTACAGCGAAATAAGTTTTGAACTTGCTTTCAATAATGCCAATGGGCTCAAGCGTGAAGGTAAACATCATATTCAACGAGGATATAAATCAGTGATTGATGCGTCGACAACAGACCTTGGAATAGACTTGCTCGTCGTAGATTGGTCCAAATCAAGGTGATCTTTTCTGGGTCTACTCTGCATGAAAAACCCTGGTTCCCGAGGCACTGGTAACGTCACTGTATTACTAGTGAGCATCACAAAAATGGTTGAAAAGGTAGGACGCTCTATAGGATCTTCTTGAACACATAACAGACCAATATGGATACATCGAACCACTTCACTATTTTGGCAATTATCAAAAATAATTGGATCCACGAGGTCTAACGCTGTTCCGTTACTCCAAAGCCTCCACGCCTTGTATCAGTTAGTCAATCAATTAGTTCTTGTAACCAATGCTTATTTGTAAGAGAGGTTATTTTAAAACTTGACTGCCTTTAAACTTACATATGTGACCAAATTATGTGCACCGCTTGTCTCATAGAAGCTACTGTTCTTCCTACCGCTTATAATCTCAAGAACTAACACTCCGAAGCTATAGACATCAGATTTCATTGAGAATTGACCATGCATGACATATTCGGGAGACATGTATCCGCTGAATCCGCCCAAGGAAACTTTAGTACATTGCAAAATAATGTTCAACTAACATCAACTTATGAAAACTTAAATTGAAGACTTACTATGTACCAACTATTCTGCTTGTGTTCTCCTGAGTTTGGTCCATTCCAAAGATCCTAGCCATTCCAAAATCAGCAATTTTTGGATTCATATCCGCATCCAAGAGAATGTTACTCGCTTTAAGATCACGGTGTATGATTGTGAGCCGTGAGTCTTGATGAAGATATAGAATCCCTCTAGCAATTCCTCCAATAATATTATAACGTAGAGTCCAGTCCAGCTCACCTTGCTTTGCAGGATCTGTGCATATTCATATATTACCATTAGATCTAAAAATTACAACCCTAAGTTTCAAGAATGGTTAGAATCACTGAAGCAAATAAATAAATGCAACTGACCAAAGAGGACGTAGTCAAGGCTTTTATTGGGCACATACTCGTAGACCAATATCCTTTCTTCCCGTTCTAGCGAAAAGCCAAGAAGCCTAACCAGATTTCTGTGCTGAAGCTTTGCAACAACTACAACCTCGTTCTTGAACTCTCTGTCACCTTGTCCTGATGTTTTCGACAGTCTCTTCACCGCAACTTCAGTCCCATTCACGAATGTACCCTGTCCATTTTCATCAGCATCATCTCATTATCCAAATGTGGTGACACAATATTTTGATAAAAAGTACACAACCTCAAGCGCAATTAAGATACACTTAGTGATTGTACCTTGTAAACCTCACCAAATCCACCTTGACCAATCTTATTATCCTCTGAATAATCATTTGTTGCAGCTTCAATTGTTCTATGGTCAAGTTGCAGCAACTCGATGGTTGTTATATCATCGCCTTTTGAACAATAAAAGTCGTAGTAATTAGAAAAAATACGGATCAATGCCATAAGTCAAATCAAGTTAAGATTTTTCCTCAATTGAATCTTTACCATCAAATGTATCAGAAGTCTTCTTTGCCCTCTTTGCAAAGAAACAATAACCAGCTATGAAAAGTAGAACAGCCACTATGATAGCCACAACAATGGCTACGACCAACACAGTTAGATTCCTACCTTTCCCTGCGTTTGAGAAATCAAGAAAAATTTTGAGGAAGAAGACAGGTCAGACAAAGTAGACAAATAGCAAACAGAAATTCTTTCTAAAAGACGAATTTTTCTTTTGAGAAATTACTGCCAAAGTTCGCCCTGAAACATTAAAAACAGAGCTCTGACCAGATCGCGGAGGAGCTGACACCGGAGGAGTAGAAACCGGCGGTGGTGATGGTCTTCCAATGTCGGTTTCGTTGTAGAACGGGTAAAGCTCGTATCGTGAACTACAGCTCGGATAAAGAACTCTTCCTCCAATTTTATCAGTAGGTAACTGATTAATGCTAATTTGTAGACACCGCAAACAGTCTTGTCTCGTCAAATCAGGAGTGCACTGAACCAGTCCGTACAAGGTCTGCTGTGCGGTCCAAATGACTTTTCTCGCATCGAATTTTCTGTTGTTGCTCGCGGCTTCATTGGCTGCTTGCTTCATTGTGGTCAAGACCAACTCTTTGAACTGGTCTGATTGGTTAAGTGAGACATTCCGGGGGCTCGGCATCATCACTCCTCTATCAGTTGTGAGGGTCGAGAGAATATTCTCGTCAGAGTATCTAAGCATACAATCATCGGAATAGAGCACAGCTTGAGTCTCATTGGGACACCGACTCAAAATTTCATCGACCGAAAAGTCGACACGGGTACGACAAGCTTCCGGCGAGAGGTCTCCCCGGCAGAGGAAAAGTCCGGTGACCATGGCAGTGTTTTGTCCTGCTGTGGCGTTTTGGAATCCGGTGGAGTAAGAAGCGTTGCTGGAAGAGAGAGACGACAAAAGGGTTTGGAGATTATTAGAGTAAGTGCTGTTCCTTGTATAAGTTGTCCTATCTGAACAAACATGGCTCAATACTGGATTTTGAGCATAAGCTGTGAAGCTAAT